GACTCATGGTGAGGTTGTAGGACAGAGTGGAACCACTCCTTTGGGTTTATAAGACTGCAAATCCCTACTGGAATAGAAAGCTTTATTTTTCTCTTTCTGATTGACTGGTGGTTTTGAAATGTTGACCTTGTATTCAGTAGTCCAACATATAACCCTCTCTGCTAACACAAGTTTGGCTTCAGAGGGACAAGAGGGATAAAGAGATGGAAATTGAGTGGACTCTGATGGCGTTAACTCCCTCTGATTCCTAATTACCAGGACAATAGCAGTTGTTGTTTTCCTCACAATTTTTCTTACATTTGAGCCCATGACTGCAGCCCCTGGGTCAATCCATCTCACGGAGGGCCTTCCTCTTGTTCACTGCTCCTCTGCTTTACCAAGCACAATGTCCTGCTCAGGGATGTCTGTCCTGACAGTCTGTCCACAGTATATAAGATAAAGTCTCTCCATTCTTGCCTCTATGGAGGATTCTGGTTGTGCTTCTTCCTAGACAGAATTGTTTGTTCTTTGGGCAGCCCACGATACTTTCAATATTATTCATAAGCACCATAACTAAAATACATTAATTCTTCCTTGGTCTTCCTTATTCAATTTCCAATTTTATATGTATACAAGGTGATTGAAAATACCATGGCTTGGGTCAAGTGCACCCTAGTGCTCAAAGTAACATCCTTGCTTCTCAATACTTTAAAGAGGTCTTGTGCATCAGACTTACCCAGTGCAATGTGTTATTTGATTTTGACTGTTGCTTCCATGAGCATTGATTTTGGATCCAAACAAGATTAAATCATTGGCCACTTTAGTCTTTTCTCCATTTATTGTGATTATCACCTATTGCTTTGGTTGTGAGGGTGTTTTGTTTACATTGAGTTGTAAAAAATAGTGAAGGCTGCAATCCTTGATCTTCATCAGCAAGTGCTGTAAATCCTCTTCATTTTCAGCAAGCAAGATTGTGTTATCTGAGTATCATACATTGTTAAATAAGCCTTCCCTCAATCCTGATGCCACATTCTTCTTCACATGACTCAATTTTTCTGATGATCTGTTCAGCATACAGATTGAATAAGTATGGTGAGAGGATACAACTCTGATGCACACATTTCCTGATGTTAAACCATGCAATGTCCCTTGTTCTGTTCTCACAACTGCCTCTTGATCCACGTACGGGCTCTAGGTGAATCACAGTGAAGTGTCCTGGAATTTCCCCTCTTCTCTAGGTTATCCATAGTTTGTTAGGATCCACACAGTTGAACACCATATCTTTCTTGTATTTTCTGCTTTTAGCCAAATTTATCTGACAGCAGCAGTAATTTCTTGTATACTACTTGCTCTTCTGGACCCATGGCAGCTCCCTGTCAATGTCCTGCCACAATCATTGTTAGATGATCATCAGAAATGTGTACTTGCATGTTCTAGAATTTGTGCATTCTATCTTTGGAATGAATACATGGAACAATAAGATGGAGCAGAATAAAATTTAATTTTATCCTGTGTAGATTGTTTCCCATTGTGACCAAAATAATTATATGAATATATACTTAAGACACACATATATGTATAGATTCTACTTGTCATTGAGCTGATAGTTACTCAAGCATGGCAGAGTAGAATTGTGCCCTGCAGAGCTTTTAATGACTGGTTTTTCAGAAGTAGATGTTTAGGATTTTCTTTTGAGGCACCTCAGGCATTGATGTGAGCCCCTGATCTCTAACTTTTCAGTTAACAGCTAGATGATTTATTTTCACAACCCCTAGTTTCTCTCTCCCTCAATATATATATTCATTCACTGACCTCGATGGGGGATATATATTGTATATGTGTTGTAATATTGAGAGAGAAACAGACATGTTGAAAGAGACAAAGACAGAGAAACATTCTTTTGCGATGAATCGTACACAGTGAATTAACTCTAACAAAGAGATATCTTGAAGACCTAAGCTACAGCTGTGTATGTGACCTTGTCTAGAAAGAAGGGGTTTCTTTTGTTATGTTAATGAAATCATACCAGGAGTAGGGCTGGTCTGAGCTACTCCCTTCACACAGTATCTGGAGTTGGCAGAAACCAACAAAGACAGAGTGCAGACTCCTACCATCCAATATTGTCAGATAACAGATTTCTAATCTTTCAAGACACCACTATGTGGTAGTTAGGAATAGTAGCCCTGAAATATGAAGACAATGACAGAAGAGTGAGTGGTTGGAATATTATACATTATTGCTGTAATGAACATATTCCAGCATTACTACATTGAGTATTGCGCTTTAAATATATTCTCAAGTACTGTTTAAAATTGCCCGGTAAAATCTTATTATTGCCATTTTATCAAAATAAAATATAAATTATCTATGACTCAGGGAAATTCCCCAAATTCCCCAAGGTTACACAGCTAGTAAAAGGCAGAACAGCGATAACAGCAAAGAAATAAAAAGTCAATGGTTATCACTTTCTGGTTACACTTATTATATCAGCAATCAAGGGGTATATATATATATATAGAAAATGATTCAACTATTCAGTAAAAGCCTAGTTTATTTTTTAGGAGAAAAAACAGTAGTCTAGTGACATACCAGCAGTAGTATTTATTGTGGAATCAGAGCCAAGAATATGTTATGCATGTACTACAACAGTTCTTTTAACAATTTCCGTAAATACAGGTTTTCTATTTGTTTTTCCCACCCACCTCCCAGGCTCACACAAGAAAATATAATTTGGGTGATCAAAAACTAGTTAAGTTTCTCAGATACCACATATATGCATATACAGTTGCATAAATACACACATATTTTAGTGTGTGTGTACATATATATAATATATATATGTGTATACATATACATATGCATACACGCCTCATGGTTAGCTAAACTGTGTTCTTATAATTGAAAGTAAATCCTGTATATTAGACTTCTAGATTTCTTTCCTTTTAAAATTGTTGACCAGCATTATTCTTGAGGTAATTCTGTCAAACAAACGCTACATATTTTATCTAGCCACCAAAAAAAAAAGGTACTAAAAACACTTTCCACTTTATCAGTGTGTGTGTAATTAACAGTAGATCAATATTTATGAAAACGGGTTATTTTATATTATGTCACTGAGTGAGACAAAAATAAATAGGATGCATATAATATGGGTTTGCTAAAATAGAGGCAAATAAAATCGCTATTGAACTAAGAGCTATTTTTAAAATTAAAAAAATGATAGAAGATTTTCTTACTAGCATTTTTCTTTGCTGTTAATTTAATTCTCTTGACTAATTTGTTAGTAAATCTAAAATTTGTTTTGAATGACTTTTGTGCTATAATTCTTAAAATATTTTAGACTGAAATTTAGTAAGTATGTATTATATTTTGTTATAATTCACAATAAAATTACAATTACCTTTATCGAGGTGATACAATGGACAATTAGAGTTTTGAGTTAAGCAATTGGGATAAAGAAGAAGGAAAGCAAAGGAGAAACGTACTGGCACAAACGTTTTAGGGAGCGCTTTAAAATTTAAAACACGTTCCATTTAAAACCATGGGTTATTTGAATAACTCCATATAATAAATCTTCAGTCAAAAATATCAACTGTGGGAAAATTAAGAAAATCAAGATAGTCTTAAAGCTGAATTTTTAACTGATTTATTATAATCGCATAGCTTGGAGATCCTTTAAGTGGTTTGTTGGAAGATTCAGATGTATTATATAATTAAATACTTTTTGGTTCTTGTCATTTTCAAACTCAGTAAGAAAAGTGCGTACTGCTTGAAATGAACCAGGTAGGAAAAAATACCTTGTATTTGGGAAAAAATTGCCTGACCTCTCTAGCTTGAATTTTTGATTGAATATATTTGAAGGCACCCTAATAAAACTGAAAGAACTGTATTCTAAGAGAACTTGTCTCTGTCAGCCACTGATTACAGATATTTATTTAAACACATTTTGTTTAAAGTAAACCTTGTGGATATAGATTTGGAAGTTTAGTAGCAATACTTTTTTATGTACCCTTGTATAAATATCTTGTTTACCCTACTTGGAAAAATATTAATCCATATTTTAATGAAGTAATATAATATAAACTGGAGGAACATAAAGAAGCAAATTGATAAAATGTTAGAGCTGCAAATACAAAATTATTGTGCTTTTTTATGTGCTTAATGAAGTGTTCTAGAGAATATACTGTAAGTACAAAAACAGCACTAAGCATGTAAGCCTTATATTAACAATGGAATAACAAAAGTAATATTTTGTAATTTAATATT